GATGGAAAAGCATGAGGATTTTATTAATTCTGTCATGACAGGGTCCCCCAGCATTCGGGAAGCCGAGGGACCTTGAGTAGCGGGTACAGTCTACTTTTAAAGGGGCCACAGAAGCAAGGGGGGTTGTTCTTTGACTATTCTGATGGGCTTATTTGAAAGGGCTATTACCAATAATTGACTGGAGAGCTGTTGCCAGATCAGATGAGGTAAGAGGTCATTTTGACCCCATTTCCCAGGGTACCTAACCAAAGCATACGTATATGGGTAATTGTTCAGGAACTGAGTACGTGCGAGTGTAGCTGTTAGGCCTTTGGTTCCCAGGGGAGGAGGGGAAGCACTATGGCACAGAGGCTGAGAGGATTCAGAATTGTCAAAAATGGCTTCAGGATTGTCTTAAAGTCTTACAGTTCTGGCAACCTTAGGAGCATGGTAGAGTATTTAGTCAAGAAAAGTTGCTTTGGGACTGTGACAGCTCACTTGGTAAAAACACCATGAAAGCTTGATGACCTGAATTTTATTCCTGGAAGGAAGGAAACCATGATACTAAGAAAAGAACCCACTCCTGAAGCCAGGTGGCACACACCTTTAATCCCAGCACTCCGGAGGCAAAGAGGTGCATCTCTGAGTTCGAGCCTGGTCTACAAGAGCTAGTTCCAGGACAGGGACCAAAGCTACAGAGAAACCCTGTCTTGAACCCCCTCTCCCCCCCAAAAAAACAAGAACCAACTCCTGAAAGTTTGCTTTGCTTTGACTTCCACATTTAGGCATATGGCATATGCAGGTCATGAACACACACCACACAAAACACACCATGTATATCAAATACATACAAAGAATAAAAATAAAGTGTAGCTTTAGTGAACTTGGTGGTGCACACCTGTAATCTACAAACACTGGCCTCGCGATTAAGGCTATTCTTGGCTACATAGTGAGTTGAAAGACTGCCTGAAACTATTTCGAGACAGGGTTTTGCTGTAGTAGCTATCAAGCCTGTCCTGGAACTAGCTCTTGTAGACCAGGCTGGCCTCGAACTCACAGGGATCCACCTGCCTCTGCATCCTGAGTGCTGGGATTAAAGGTGTGTGCCACCACCACCTAGCTAATTAATACAGCTTTAATTTAATACATATTTAATCCTAGCACTCAGGAGGCAGAGTCAGGTCGATCTCTGAGTTTGAGGCCAATTTACAGAGCGAGTTCCAGGATAGCCAGGGCCCTGCAGAGAAACCCTGTGTCGAAAAGCTAACTAACCAACAACAAAAAACTATTTTCTTTGGACTTGGAGCCCCAAAGAGTGGATGTGAGATTAATTTCTCTGGATCCCTCCATCATTCCTCAGCCCAATACCTGTCACAGACAGGGTTTAGTCTTGGTCTTATCAATCAATAAGACTAATATATGAAATTCAGCTCTTGTAAGTTAATCAGCAAATTGAGCCTCTGTTTCTCATCTCTCTGAGAAGATTATCCTACCCCAAAAGGAAGGAGGGATGAGGGACCAAATATTTCTCCTGTAGGCATTTTAGGGATTGCCAGGACCACTTGCAGCAGATGCAGAACTTCTGAACCAGTTATCACCACTTAAACCCTACTTAAATTTCCACAGTAATGACATGTTTTGGGATCATCTATATCCTATGCACATTTCTACTTTATATGTATTGACTCATTTCATCTTCATAAAAGTAAGATGAGGTGAATAATTTCTTTTTTAAGTTTTCAAGACTTTTTTTTTTAATGTGCATATTCCTGGCAGTCCTGGAACTCACTTTGTAAACTAGAGATCTGCATGCTTCTGCCTCCTGAGTGCTGCGGTTAAAGGTGTATGCCACCAACACCAGATTTTTTTTTTAAAGGCAGAGTCTCCTATGGGTGGGGTGAGATGGCTTGTTCAGTGAGACCTCTGAGTAGAAGAGATAACTCAGTGGTAACAGCACTTGCCACCAAGCCTGACAACCCGAGTTCAGTCCTTGGAACTCAAAGCGTGAAGGAGAAACTGACTCCCACGAGCTGGCCTCTAACCCCCACCAGCACTCACATACCCTCCTCACACAAAGGTGTAGGTCTCTTCTTCGTGCCTCCACATCTCAGTGCCACCAACTAAGTGACAACCCTCACCTAAAGCAGAAATGATTAAAATCCCCACTTTACCAAATGGAAAAAGGAGAAGGAACATTACCTGTTCCCTCCCTGAATCATGCCAATCCCATACAGTAGCTATAACTGCCACACTGCAGAATGATCCTTTATGGGTTAGACCAGGCCAGACCAAGTGAGAGGCGCACGCCTTTAATCCCGGCACTCGGGAGGCAGAGACAGGAGGATCTTCTCACAGAAGCCAGCCTGGTCTACAGAGCAAGTTTCAGGACAGTCAGCAGTGTTTCACAGTGAAACCCTGTCTTGAAAAAAACAAAACAAAACAAAAAGTGAGAAAAGAACACTAGGAACTGGGCTGGAGAGAGATGGCTTAGAGGTTAAGTGCACTGGCTGCTCTTCCAGAGGGATCAGAGTTCAATTCCCAGCAACCACATGGTAGCTCACAACCACCTGTAAAGGAGGTCTGGTGCCCTCTTCTGGCCTGCAGGGATACATGTATACATAATAGATAAATAAATAAACCCTAAAACAAAACAAAACAAAAAACACGGGGCGCTGGTTTCTCTTCATTGTGAAAAGCCTTTAAGCTGGGTCTTGCAGAACTTCCACCCTTAACCCTCTCTAGAGACATCTGATAGGATAGGGCGCCCTCTTCTGATAGAAGGTTGGAACAGCTTTGGCCCAAAGTTTCTGGGATGGACTTAGTCTCTCACTACCAGCTAGGTTGTATTGGTGGGGTTTGTTTTCCCAGCATTCTGTAACCGGCCGCAGGGAGGAAAGGCTGGAGCAAAACTGGCATAATGTTTCAGAAGTGCAAAGATGGATAATTCGACTAGAATGAGGGTGAAGACTGGAGAGCTCCGATAGGGAAAGAAAGACATTTGGACCCCACTGAATTAATTTTATGTTCTTTCAACAGGTGATGGCGTGCAGCCAGAGGTAAGAAGACAAGGTGACTTATCCAACATGTCAAAACCAGATGTCCAGGGCCCTTCTGGCTGTTCTCACCCAGCCAAAAATAGTGGGGACAGAGTAGACCTGGAGAAGCTTGGCTTCTGGAGACGCGAGGTGATCAGGAGAGCCAGAGGTCGCGGCCCCCAAAAGAGGGGAGGAGCCAGTGTAGTTACGGGCCCTGTTTCCTCCCTAAGATCCGCCCCAGACGCACCGCCCCGCCTCGCGCCGGTGCTGCTGCTGCGACCCGCCCCCTTCACTCGCCCCCGGGCCGGGCGGGGGCTCCGGGTTCCTGTGCCCCTAGCTACCCGTCCGGCACCCTAGCCACCGCTGCTTGGGTGAGTAAGGGAATAGCCGGTTTGGGCCACAAGGTAACCTCACTCGGGGAGCCCCGCCACGAGGTCCGGCCTCCACAGGCCTGGAGTCCGAGTGCCTGCCCGCCTTGTGCACACACTCGGAACCCGGGGAACTGTAGGCGGCCAGACACTGAGCCGACTATTGCCCGCTCTGTAGTGGGGCTAGGTGTGCTGGGATTAAATGCTGCCTTTACTCCGCAGGGCTTCCTGCTCAAGATCCCTCCAAGCGCTGCGGATGGAGGCATGGGGGAGCCTTGCAACCTCATAGTCTAGTTTGAGTCCCAGCTCTGCCAGTTACTAGCCTGTGGCTTTGAGTAAGTGTTTTTAACCACCTCGAGGCTCAGTTTCCCCTTTTGTGAAATGGGAACCCAGAAGACAGCCAGCACATACTCTTAGAATAAATAGGATTGAAAGAGATTGTATATTAAGTGCTGAGCTCAAAATGTAGATTCTGGCAGGATATAAAGTGGGGATTCTTTTGGATATAAATGGGGATACTCCTTTTTAAAAAAGGCAGTTTTCAGAGCCCTGTGTGGTGCCTGTAATCTCAGCAACAGGAAGACAGAGACAGGAAGGAGGGTTGCGAGTTTCAGCAAGCCTGGGCTACATAGTAAGGCCCTTTTCCACACACACTAACACTCTAAAATAGAGTAAAAGCGACTAAGTTGTACCAGTGAAGAAGCGAAAGCTGTCTAGGAGCAGAACTGCAGGTAGTGCGCTCCTAACCCTGAGATACCAAGCAGGGACCAAGTTGGAGGGGCCTTAGAAGTAATCTAAACCTTGTGATTTCCTCCTGTTGTACAGTTTGAAACAGGTCCAGGATGGTTAGGTGACTTGTCCAAGTCACACACCTAAAAGGGAAGCCAGGCACAAAGCCAAGAAGTGGAACCAACTATCCTTTCTGTACCAGCTCATCGTCCCTTCCTGGGGTAAGGTCTGGTCTTCTGTTGGATGAGGAGGAGGTTAGGTGCAGTCCAGGGGTGGGCTGGCAGGGAGAACGCTCTCACCTAGGGCCCTGTGCAGGGAATGTTGGGTGTGGGAGGGTCATCAGTGCCACTTCAACTTCCAGGGGAGATGCTTGACCAAATATTTATTGCCCCAAAGGGAAGGAAGGTCTTAAGAATTTGGGTTGGGCAGCCTTTCTGGCCTGGCAGAGAGGTAGTTGGGAAGGTAGATGAAAATGCAGAGGTGTGTCCACCTGTTTCTGGAATGCTAGGAGGCCAGGAGAACAAAGTTCTGTTTAAGGGTGGGGCAAGAAAGAGTCATGGCTCCAGACCAGAAGGGCCGGTTTTTTTAATGTGTCTGGAGCCAGCTATTGCTTGGCACCAAAACAAAAAAACACCCCAAATTCTGGGAATGATTGTTCCCCAGGCTCAGCCTTGAGGAAGAGATTCTCTGCCTCTTGGTTTCTCCATCTTTACAATGGGAACAGGCAGATTGGCTGTCTATATAGTACATGGTATTTTTTGTTTGTTTGTTTGTTTTTTGTTTTTGTTTTTCAAGACAGGGTTTCTCTGTGTAGCCCTGGCTGTCTTGGAGCTCACTCTGTAGACCAGGCTGTCCTGGAACTCACTCTATAGACCAGGCTGGCCTCCATGCCCAGCGTATTTGTTTTCTTTTGTCCTTGGCTCACTCTTGTCCTAATCTGACCTTCCTGCCTGGAGTTTTGGTCCAGAGAGAGAGAGGGATGAAGAAAGTCAGAGTTGAAATACACAGCTCTTTGTGAGTCCTCCCTTCCTCCGCTGACGGATCCCACTTCAGCTTCCCTTCTACTCTAGGGTTGTTAGTATACTTAGCTATTTTAGTGCCTTACCTTAGAAACTCAGCTGGGCGGTGGTGGCGCACACCTTTAATCCCAGCAGAGGCAGGTGGATCTCTGTGAGTTCAGGTAGCCTGGTGTACAAGAGCGAGTTCCAGGTCAGGCTCCAAAGCTACAGAGAAACCCTGTCTCGAAAAAAAACACAAAAAGAAAAAAGAAAAAGAAACTTTCTTGTTTGTTTCTCGAGACAGGGCTTCTTTGTGTAACACAGCCTTGGTTGTCCTAGAACTCTCTCAGTAGACCAGGCTGGTCTCGAGCTCACAGAGATCCATCTGCCTCTAGCTTCCAAATGCTGGGACTAAAGGCGTGCTCCACCACAGCCTAGCAGAAACTCTTGTCTGAGGAAAGAACCTTTACCCCATCTCAGGAGGCACTGGGTACTGAGAAGCCACCAGAAGCTGACCAGGCAGCTCTGGCCTATCCACAGCAAGCCTGATTCTGCAAAGCCTTTCACCCTTCACAGCACGTGAGGCACTGGCAGGGACAATCATGGGATGGAGGTTCTGTCAGCTTCCATGGAGTCCCTGCTACCCTGAATCACTGTGCCTGCATATAGCACCCCAGAGTCTGGGAAGGGAAGGACCTGAAAGTGAACCAGGGCCCTGTACCTGAGAGGAGCAGTGAGAACCGAGAGACTGGGGCAGAGGCTTGGGGCTGGGTAGGGGGACATGGGCCAGTCTATTAACCAGTTGCTTTAAAGTTTGGTTCTTGAACCAGTGGGAAACTAGCTAAATCAACTACTGCAGTCTAGGCTTGTCTAGCCAGGCAGAAGGTTGAGGAGAAGACTGTGCAGTCTCTCTCAAGTTTTATCTGAGTATAGATCAAGTTCATTGTCTTCCCTCAGAAACTGAAGTTGAGTGTTACCTTGGGATTCTGAGTCAGTCTTCCCTACACAGGACAGGAACTGTAAAAATTTTGGTGTCTCCTCATACTCCCTGCTATATAGCATAGCTAAGTTTTGGATTGTGCAGGAGCGTAGTGTTACCACTGGCCCCCCAGCCCTACTGTCTGGGACCCTGACAGTGCCCTCCATCCTCAGGTTTGACAAGATGTACCAGGTCCCACTGACGCTGGACCGGGATGGGACCCTAGTCCGACTCCGTTTCACCATGGTGGCCCTAATCACGGTCTGCTGTCCGCTTGTCGCCTTTCTCTTCTGCATCCTTTGGTCCCTTTTCTTCCACTTCAAGGAGACGACGTCTACACACTGTGGGGTAGGGCTCCCGTCTGGACCTTTTCTGAGATCCTGATTTGATATTAACGGAATGAGCCAGTTCTCCTGTAGGTTCCATCAAATATGCTGGGCTACTGGGTGGTGGTGGGTCGCTTGTAAATTGAGGTCTCAAGAATTAGGCTCCTTCTACTTTCCATGAAGGTTCTAGGAGCTGGGGTCATTGAAGTTGGGCAGTCCCCAACCCACAACCTGGACCACCAGGTCTAGAGGTGCACGCTTTTAATCCAAACACTTGGGAGGCAGAGGCAGGTGAATTTCTGAGGCCAGCCTGATCTACGTGGTGCGTTCCAGGGCAGTCAGGAATATAGAAATCCTGTCTTAAAAACAAACAAAGTTATAAAAATCCAGAATCCAATACCTGCTCCAGAGTTTCCTGGGAGGATAAGACAGGAATAGAGGACATTGTAGGTCTCAGTATGTTGTTGTGGGCTTATGTTTGTGAGAATGCGTCTTTGTACATGTATGTGTCAGTGATTGTGAGGGGTGTGCCTATATTTAATGGCTTTGAGAAAGGTTATGTGTGTGAAAGAAACTCGGTCTGTCTGTGTGGGGACCTAGTTATGTGCATGGATATGTGTTCTAGGTAGGCCCCATACCTCTGAGGACATTTGAGCTATGAAGAGAGATTTGAGAGTTTCTTTCTTCATAAAATGTCAGAATAAATAGGGTAAGGCTGTGTTGACATCTGCTCTACTCCTATTCGCTAACCGACAGTTCTCCCTGAGCCCCTGAGCGTGAGCCTCAGTTTCCATGTGTATAGGGAGAGAGGTGAATGATGCTTGCCCTGCTTCTTCCCAAGGCTAATGTAGAGCTCCAGGTAGAGCAGCATGGGAAGGCGGGCTGGGAGTGCCAAGGGAGGACAACAGGAGGAGGAGGAGAATGAGAAGGGACAAGAGACCGTAAGGTTAGGAGGTGGCCCCAGGTGAGGCAAAGCCTGGACGTGGAGCTTAACTAACCTTTGAGAGAGCATTGAAGGCCCCTGCCAGCTTCCTTTATGATCCTCAGACTTCAGAAAACCATCTGCTCCATGGGGAGACGAGGTCTACCAGAGGATCCTGTTTGGGAGTGTGGGGTGAGTATGTTCAGTAGGACTTGAATTTTTTTTTCTGATATGTAGACATGAGCCTTGATTGAGGGCACACAGTCTGGTGAGAGATATCAGAGGGGATAGGGAAGCCAAAGGCGGTGGCTCCTGCCTATAATCCCAGCAGCGGGGAGACTGGAGCAGGAGGATTCACTAGGAGTCAAGGTCAACCTGGGCTAAAGAGTGAAACCCTGTCTTACTCCACCCTCCAACTAATAAGTAAAAAGTGAATACAAGGAACAGGACTAGGAGAAAAGTGAGTAGCTAGGTTAGTGGTTCTCAACCTGGCTCGTGACCCCCACAGGGGTTGCATATTAGATATCCTGCATGTCAGATATTTATATTACAATTCATAACCATAGCAAAATTATAGTTCTGGAGTAGCAACGAAATAATTTTGTGGCTGGGGGGTGGTCACCACAGCATGAGGAACTGTATGAAAGGGTCACAGCATTAGGAAGGGTGAGCACCACTGAGCTAGGTGGTCTAGGATCATTTCCTGCCTTAGTAGTTGCTAAGATATGTTCCCATTACTTAACTCCTGTCCATCCTGAAAAATCTTTCCAGGGTGTTTCCTGCTCTAGAACCCCTTGCCTAGCCTCTTCGAGGCACCTGCTCTTCTTGCTGTTAGTCCCCCATTTCTCTCATACCATATCTGTGTCTGTCTTCCTCACCACCCTGGGATCTCCATGAGAACAAGCCCTTCTGAGTCACAAAGTATTCACTGGATAAATAGACAGGACTTCCCAGCTGGGAAAGGTTGGGAAAGGCAGATAGTCCAAACAAAATTAAAGGTTTTACTGCTTATAAGTTAAACAGAGTAGCCTGTTTGCTCTACCCTTCTGGCTGGCCCTGAGGGCTAACGGGTCCAGTGACCTCAGCCTACCTGATACCCACTACCCACTCTCGGCATACCAGTTAGAGAATGAAAGCACGGGTAGCTGCTTGCCTAGTGACCCAGGGAATATTTCACCCCCATTCCCTGGGGCTCTTCTGTCGGATACAATTGAAGCTTTTCATTTATACTTTGAATTTCCCATCCAGAATATCCTAGGAATAAAGTAAGTAACCTAGTGTGACACACCATCATTAATGATATTGCCTCTGCTTATCCCAAGTAACAGGGAGCTCCTTTCTCTGTAGCTACAGGGGTTTAGTACCTGAGAATGAGCACACTTTTTTTTTTTTATAATAAAGCATAGATTGGGAGGGGGTGATTTTTTTGAGACAGTATCTCACTGTACAGTTCTGGTTGGCTTAGAACTTGCTATAGAACAGGGTGGCCCCGAACTCACAGAGATTCACCTGCCTCAGCCTCCCAAGTGCTGGGATTAAAGGCATGCACTACCATGCCTGGCTAACAGATTTTTTCACCCCAAAAGTCTGCCCTGGCCTTGGCTCTGCTGTGATAACCATGGAACTACTCTTTCCTCCTGGCTTTCCATCAGTCCTGCAGAGATAAAAAGACAGTAATGGAGACCCTAAGTCTGTCCTAGAAGCATAGCTCTAAGTTTCTCAGGAAACCTTCCCAGGGTAGGGTCTGTAGACTCCTTACAACCCTAAATAAGGGACTGGAGAGATGGCTCCGCAGTTAAGAGCATTGCCTGCTCTTCCAAAGGTCCTGAGTTCAATTCCCGGCAACCACGTGGTAGCTCACAACCATCTGTAATGAGGTCTGGTGCCCTCTTCTGGCCTTCAGGCATACACACAGACAGAATATTGTATACATAATAAGTAAATAAATAAATATTTTTTTAAAAAAGCCCTAAATATGTCCTTGGACTTAATCCAGTTGGTAATGTGTTGTCTTTATTGGGCCCAGGTCTGGATAATAAGCCTTCAGCTAACCTGGGAAATAAATGCACAAGCAATACTATTCCTTCCTATTTCTGTCAGACTTTTATTGATGCAGCCCAAGCTACCATTAGCTGTTTCTGTATAGGTACAGGCTGGACACTGATAGCTCATATTAAGGCCTGCCTAGAACTCTTTCGGATCTGATTCTATTTTTATTTACTGTTTGTGTGTGTGTGCACATGTAATCATGCACGCATGTCCCATGGCGCATGTGTGGCAGAGGACAACTTTGAGAGTCAATTCTCTTCCTACACCTTTGCATGCGATCTGGGGGATATCAGGTCATCAGTCTTTAACACAAGCACTTTAGCCTTCAGCCATCTCTTCAGACACTTGGTTCTATCTCTCTGTTTCTCTGTGTAACAGTGTAACAGCCCTAGCTGTCCTGGAACTAGCTCTTGTAGACCAGGATAGCCTTGAGCTCACAGAGATCCGCCTGCCTCTGCCCACTTGGTTCTCTTAATGCAGGAGTAGGTAGCTCTCTTGGTAGAGCTAAAAAAATATTCCCAGTCATGTTTCAACCAAAAAGAGCCAGGTTGCTGGGCGGTGGTGGCGCACGACTTTAATCCCAGCACTCGGGAGGCAGAGGCCAGCCTGGTCTACAGAGTGAGTTCCAGGACAGGCTCCAAAGCTACTGGGAAAACCTGTCTCCAAAAACAAACAAACAGAAGAGCCAAATCTTATTATTCTTTCTTTTTCTGCATTTCTAGAAGCACTTGTCTCCCTTGGACACAATATTTAGAAAGATCTCCGCCTCCGTGCCTGGCAAAAAAGCCAGTGGGCCGATCTTAGTCACTATCACTTCTTACAGTTGCACAGTGTTCTGGGATTTATGAGGTGGCCTTGTTGATTCGGAGAAGGCTGTGTGCCTGGGCAGGCGTGGAGAACTTGGCTTTGTGGGCGGAGGGCAGGCCCTGAGGACCTGGGGGTGGGACCCTCTGGTTTGAAGCAGTTTCAGTCTGACTGGAGTCCTCAATCCCAGCCCAGCATTCTTCAGCACCCAGTGTAAGTGTTTCTTGATCAGCTTCCCATTCCACCCCATTCCCGATGAAGAGCTAGTCTGGTAGACTCCTTAGTAGGAGGAAGGATGGGATCCAAGGAAAGATTTGGTCCTAGGTCTTTCAATCCAGAGCCATCTCTGTTTGTCCCAGCTTGCCCCAAAAGGGAGCCCAGCTGGAGGAGTCATGGTGGTCAGGCCATAGGCACGTAGGGAGGGACTTCTCTTCCAGGAGGGAAAAAGGAGTGGGAAAAGGCCAGCTTCCTGGGCTTGTGCTTAACCTGGATTTGACTTAGTACACTAAGCTGAAGCTGAAGGGAGAAGGTTCCAAAGACCCTTATTTATATTCCTCCAAATTTTTGATTGGATAAGGTAGTCCTCTCAGAAGGGAAAGGAACAGACGTTTGGTCCTCTGCTGGATCAGAGGACCTGTGGCTTGGCTCATTAAGAGCCTGGGGGTGGAATGGCTGGTAACCTGTAGTTCTACTGGAACGGGCCTAGGACACACTCATTGTTCCTAGTTGAACATGGGTGAGAAGGAGGAATGCGATCGGACAGGGTCAGCGAGAGGTTTAGCTAGTCTGAGCCAAGGGTCCTTAGTTTAGAGCTGCTTGGTAACCAAAGACTTTAGTCCAGGCACTTGATCCTGGCATGGTTTCGGGCCGTTGTCTCATCTGCTGTGTGATGGAATAATAACTTTTCCACTTGAGTTCCTGCCCAGTTGCTGTGAGGACAGAGTGTGAAGTGAGACCATCCCAGCTCTAGTGTTCAGGCCCCTGGGCCCTCTTGTTGTCTAGACTCTTTAGGAGGTGGGACTAGAGCATCAGTGTGCCACAGTTCTTAAGGATGCCCATGCCTGTCTCTCTCTGCCACTCCTACCCCATCCTTTTGTTTTCTCCCCTGCTTTCCACTTACGTTCTGGCTTTTCCTTGAACCAGTTCTGGAAAAGGCTCCACTTTCCAATACCCAGGTCCCTTGCCTTGCTTGGACCACTCCTTACAGGATGTTCTCTGCACCCTTGGACCCCGATGGGACCGTGTTCCGGCTCTGCTTCACAGCTTTTGTCTGGTGGGTCATCACTTTCCCCCTGTTCGGCTTCTTCTTCTGCATCATCTGGTCTCTGGTGTTCCACTTTGAGTACACGGTGGCCACTGACTGTGGGGTGAGTTCCAGGCTTCCCCGCACCTCGGGCAGGGGCATTGGTTAGGGAAGATCGGGAGGAGGAGAAAAGTGGAAGGTCAGAGAGAGGAAAGTGACAAAGGGGTTGGGGGTGGGACAAGTCAGAATTCATGGAGAAATTAGAGACAGGAACTCTCAGAGCAGAGTCACCACCACCTCTAGGAGCTGGGAGAAGATTGCAGAAAGTACAGAGAGTTGGGGCAGAGGGTGTTGAGGGCACCTGAGGGAGGGAAGGAATTGGGAAGGAAAAGGAGGAAGATAGAAAAATTGGAGCCGGGATAAAGTAACAGGTAGTTTTAGATCAGATTAAGAGAACCATCCCTGTTCTGTGATCTTCTAGCTTGGTTTCTCTACTGGCAGCTCTAGGCCCCACAACCCATGAGCACTCAGGCTAGCTAAAACCCAGCATGGACTTCCTACTTCCCAGGTCTTTTCTGAGGGACCAGGGATCCAGGCTGTGTGTCAGAGGCATGGAGATGACGATGTACTCGCTCCTAGCGTCTTCTTACACACGAGACAGTTCTTAGACATAGCTACAATGTAGCGAGTTGGAGTTCTTTTCCTTGCTCCTAGCATCTTCTCACACACGAGACAGTTCTTAGACATAGCTACAATGTAGCAAGTTGGAGTTCTTTTCCTTTCTTTTTTCTTTTTTTTTTTTTTTAAGATTTGATTTTTATTTGTTTTTGTGTGTCTGTGTATGGATATGTGGGTAAGATGCCAGAAGATGGCATCAGATTCCCTGGAGCTGGAGTTTCAGGGGACTGTGAGCTGCTTGGGGTGGGTGCTGGGAACTGAACTGGGGTCTTTTGAGAGGGCAGCAAGCTCTCTTAACCACTGAGCCATCGCTTGTTATTGAATTGGGATTCTTACTGTGATAAAAAAAAAAAGGGGGGGGGACCCAGGGGCTCCAGGGCTCAGAGGAGACATTTTACCCAGCTTGGACACTGGAGATGAAGGAGGGAACTTTGTTGCTGGGATGTGTGGAGGTGAGAAAGGACCATTGTGAGTACTAGGTTAACAACTGTGCATTTGTGATCCTGAGGGTAATAGAAGCTTTAGGAAGATTTTAAGCAAGAAGAGACATGATCAGGTCTGTGCTTTAAAATTTCCTTCCAGCTTCCAAATGTAGAAAGACTAGGGATCAAGAATAGGGAGGTCGCTGGGCGGTGGCGCGAACCTGTAATCCCAGCACTTGGGAGGCAGAAGCAGGCGGATCTTTGTGAGTTCAAGGCCAGCCTGGTCTAAAGAGCTAGTTCCAGGACAGGCTCCAAAGCTACAGAGAAACCCTGTCTCGAAAAACAAAAAAAAAAACAAACAAAAAAAAGAATAGGGAGGCCAAGCCAGGCAGTGGTGGCACATACCTTTAATCCCAGCATGCCAGAGGCAGGAGGCTAGCCTGGTCTACAGACTGAGGTTTAGGAACGTGATGGATATACACAGAGAAATGCTATCTTGAAACCTCACCCCCCAAGTAAGAATAGGGAGACCAGTGGGAATGCTAGTCCAGTGGCTTGTACTACTGGTGACAGAGAAGGAACCATCAGGAGCTGGAGTTTTTGTCGAGTTGGTAAGGGGTTGGAGGATAAGAAGGTGGATAAGCCTTTTATAACCAGTAGTATATATGGGGGTGGGGACTTTTGCCTGAGACCAAAAGAGTTATTTTTTAATGGTATAATCTGATAAGGAGAGTGTGTGTGTGCGCGCCAGGGGACAATCTTGGGTTGTCATATCCACTTGGCTAGGCTGGCCGGCCAGCGAGCTTCATCGCCCTCTCTTTGCCTCCCCAGCACTGGAATCATTGTGCCTGCCACTGTGCCTGTTCTTCTACCTGATCTCCAGGGCTCAAACTCACACAGCAAATTTCCTGAGCTATCTTTCCAGTCCCTGGTTAGGGGATTTCCTACAACTTCCCCAGTATGAGTTTCTGATCAACTTCTCTATTAGAAAAGGGGTTCTCTGATCATCAGTGCTTTCTGCTCTGGGCTTATGGGGACGTTTGGAATGAACTGTATGTATCTGGTGTCTGATAGTTTTTGAGGTTGTTGTAGACACAGTTAGTGAAGTAGGGAAACGATGTGCTGGAGAAGGAAGTGGAAATATTTACCTGGTTTATGTGTGTGTGTTTGTATGTGGTGGGTGGCACAGACTCTTAAAGTCCTGCCTCACCTTTAATCTGAAAGAAGTTTGTGAAGTCAGCCTGATAGTCACCAACCTTCTCTTCTCAGTCAGGTACTACTACCACCTTGAATGTTCTCCAAGTAGGCTTTAGATACTGGTCCTGGTCCCCACAAAGTAGCTGAGATTCGAAGTAGTCTTCAGAATGACTGTTCCAGGAAGGCTGCACTCGGTCACCCAACTTAGGGCATGAGAGAGGCTGTGATGGCAAGGTTTCTTTCACTGTCTGGTGTGCTGCTTTTCCCGTTAGCAGTTTTCTTATACTCATAGCCCTGTTGACTCGCAGCCTTTTTATGAAAGCCTGATTTATAAAAGTCATCACTTTTATACCCACTGTGGGCTTGACACTGTAGAAGCTCTGTCAACCAGGTATATTGGTAAATGCTTTTAATACCAGCACTCTCAGGTGGGTCTCTGTAATCCAAGGCCAACTTGGTCTACATAGCAAGTACGAGACCAGCTGAGTCTTCATAGTGAGACTCTCTTAATTAAACAAAGTTAAACAAATCACCCTATAAAATAGGTGATATTATATTACCAGTGTAGATGCGGGAGCTCAGAGAGGTGTAGGGCCTGCTCAAAGTCACCTAGATAATAAAGACAGGGTTGTGATTGGGACCCAGCTCTTAGAACAGCTTCTCTGAGAACTCTGCACTCAGCTTCCTCTGGCAGTTTTGAGGTGGCTGTGAGGTCCTTGGATTGCCTGCCCCATGCCCTGGGAGGTCCCTCCAGCATTGCCCACTGGACCAGTGGTCCAGAGGTTCATTCAGCATCTTTGGAAGGAAGGAATGGAGCTTCCAGAATTAGTCATAGCAGGGTCTCTGGGTTGCTGGGCTCTACACTACCCTGGCTGTTGTTGAGTCTAAAAGTGTGGGCTATGGACTGACGCTTCTGGTATTGGAATCCTTTATAAAAGCAACTCTCGCCTTCCAGGCCTGCATGTCATACAATTCCCCGGTGAGTCCATGTGTGTCAACGCTCACGAATCACTGCTTTGCAAGAGGCCTCTTCCCACCCCCGGCCCCATCCCCAGGCCTGTCTGTACAGAGAACTCCACTCCTTCAGCTCCCTCTCTCACCATGCTTAAGGAGTGAGACTGCTGCTCCACAAGAATGAGGGATAGGCTCATTCGCTTTTCGTCTTTCTTTTGAGGCAGACTTTTTCTGTAGTCCTGGCTGGCCCAGAACTCTGCTGATATTAAAGGTGTGCACCACCATGCCCAGCAAGGCCATTTTCTTAGATTATATTAGCTTAGAAGATCCCATTTTCTTTTTCTTTCTTTTTGTTTTGGAGACAGGATTTCTCTGTGTAGCTCTGGCTATCCTGGAACTTGTTCTGAAAATTCAGCTGGCCTCAAACTCAGAGCTCCTCCTGCCTCTGCTTCTTGTGTGCTGGGATCAAAGGTGTGCGCCACCTCTTCTGCCTGGCATCCTCAACACATTAGTGCACCCGCCTAGGGGGATGAGCGGAGCCGGGAGCAGCTGAGAGGAACAGCTCAGCAGGGTGGCGCTGTTCCAAATAAAGGCCGAAGGTCTGTGACTCATCCTGGTCTTCTGGCCTCAAACCTGGGATCCTGGGATCTGGGATGCCCACGGAGTCACATCCTGGTCTTCAGGCCTCAAACCTGGGATCCTGGGATGCCCACGGAGCCATATTCAGGCACAACCCTGAGCTATTAGCATAGGGAGAACCTGAACTCAAACGTGCAGGTTCCAATCTCAAGAAAGATGGAGATAATAGTACCCTGTCCTAATCCCAGACAGACTAGGAAATGAACATGTCAGTCCCAGGACCTAGAAGTGGAAGGCTTGAGAGGGCGCCAGGAGAAGTTGGACGAAAAGGAAGTGGCTTTAATAGATGTGAAGAAGGCCTTCCTGGTAGGTGGGACCGGCAAAGGAGATGCCTAGACTCCCGGATTACCTCTCTTAGGTGCCCAATTACCTGCCATCAGTGAGCTCCGCCATTGGTGGGGAGGTTCCCCAGCGCTACGTGTGGCGCTTCTGCATTGGTCTGCACTCGGCACCCCGCTTCTTGGTGGCCTTCGCCTATTGGAACCACTACCTCAGCTGTGCATCTCCGTGTCCGGGTTACCGCCTTCTCTGCCGCCTCAACTTCAGTCTCAACGTGGTGGAGAACCTCGCGCTGCTCGTGCTCACCTACGTCTCTTCCTCCGAGGACTTCAGTGGGTGCCAGACAAGGGAGGGGTGAAGGGCACGGGAAGGGGACGCAGCCCCCTTTCCTGCCTAAGGGTGAGGGTGGGGTCCATCCTCCTTTTTCCTTCCAGCCATCCACGAAAATGCTTTCATTGTGTTTATCGCGGCATCTCTCAGTTACATGCTCCTCACCTGCATTCTCTGGCGGCTGACCAAGAAGCACACAGTAAGTCAGGAGGTACGGTCTGCCCCTACTGGGCACTAGGAAGCCCAGAAGAAAATCAAGAACATTTGTCCTTAGGATGTGGGTAACGATGGGTGACAAATGACTTTCCATTTGGAACTCAGCAAAAGGGCATGGGGGCTTTGGGCTGAGACTTGGAGAAAAGTGGAGAATGGTTAACTTGTCCCGGCCAACCATTTGAGTAGTACTGGAGAATGCATAGAGGCTGGATATGGGGCCCAAATCAAGGGTAGCAGCCAGGCCCGGTGGGTTAGAAACACTGTCAGTGGACTGCTTTGTAAGAATCCCCAGCCATATGTATGGCCTTTCTTTGCCCCACTGTACCTGAAAGTGTTGGCTTGGTGGGTGAACTCCATGCATCTTTCCTACTCCGTCCCACTGAAGTGAGAAGGGCACTTGGTTTCATTATCCCCCTAAATGCAAGGATGTAGACATCATTTTCGCTGCCCCTGCCTACACTCCCTTCCATGACCACTTTGGGATGCAAGAGGGAGGCCCCAGCCGTTAGGAACTTAGTCTAAGAGGGAAAGCCACTCACATATACCTAACAAGCTACAGGGTGATCAAATAGTCCGTCCCCTAGGATCGCAAGTCCTACAGCTGGAAGCAGCGGCTCTTCATCATCAACTTCATCTCCTTCTTCTCGGCGCTGGCTGTCTACTTCAGGCACAACATGTACTGTGAGGCTGGAGGTGAGGCCAGGCTGGGATCTGGAAGTGCTCACAAGTGACCTCAGAGCAGCTGCGCTGGGTTTCTGGGGTTTTTGTAGTAGGCGGTGGTCTTGGGTACTGGCTGTCTCTGTGGTGGGCTGGTAATGTGATGATTAAGAGGTCACTAAGAGGGTAAACCAAGAGGCTCATTGTGCCCTGTTCCTTGTGCCCTCGTAACAGTGTATACCATCTTTGCCATCCTGGAGTACACCGTTGTCCTAACCAACATGGCGTTCCACATGACAGCCTGGTGGGACTTCGGGAACAAAGAGCTGCTAATAACCTCTCAGCCCGAGGAAAAGAGATTCTAAACCCTTCTCTGATGCTGGGAAGAGAACCCACTGCCCAGAAACACGAAGCCACTCTGGCCTCCCTATGCCCATGTCCTCTCTGGACCCTTCTGAGCTGGGGCTGGGGAGAAGAGCAAGAGCAGGATTGACAAGGCTGACTCAGCCCATAGGGGTTGTCAAGTGACATCACCATAAACTGAAAGCTCCACCACCTGGTGCTTAAAAAAAAAAGTCCTGAGGATCATGACCATTATTCAGTTTTTGACCTTTACACAGACCTGAGGTTAGGAACCACTGAGCAGTCAGTCACAGCCGTCTCTCTAGGGGTCCTTCCCATCAGCCTCACTGTGTCCCTGTGTATGACTGGGGCGAAGGCTGTGTTGGCATCTCTGAGGCCGTCTGATGGCAGTAGAGCCCTGTACTTGACAAATGACTCGTCCTAGAAGCATCAATCATATTTTCCTCCCCGTCTAAACCACTGGCTTTTTGGGCGCACTAAAATATGCCTATAAGCGTAGCACCGTGGAGGCTAAGACTGGTGAACTGCTTCAAGATCCATGCCAATCTGGGCTACAGTGAGACCTCATCACAAAAAGGAAATGTCAGGCGTGATGGCACCCGCCTTTAGTCCCAGCACAGCAGGGGCAGGCTATGAGCTCAAGGCCAGCCTGGTCTATACAGTGAGTTTCAGGCCACTCAAAGACCCTGTCTCAGAAAACAAAATAGCCCCTAAAATCACAGGCTTATAAGACCTTTTCCTCTGGCAAGGGGCAGGGGTCAGAGGTAGAATTCCCTACTCCAGAATGGGTTCCTTGTTTTTCCTTTATTTTCTCTGCTGCTCCCCAGCCTTTATTTGTATATTTTATTTCACAGGACAATAAATTTTTTTCTTTTGCCAACAATCTGGGGTAGGTATGTTACTACTGGGGCTCATCTGCGCAGGGCAGCCGAGGTGAAGAACGCAAGAACAAGTCTGCAGCAGCTCATTCTCATGTGGTGTCTCCCTTAGCCCTTCTGCAGTGTTTCCTGCGGCAGCTCCAGCCTCCATGTTGGTGAACACAAGTGGCTGAGCTATCTCTGAAAGGACTCGGCCTGGCTCTGGCTGTAATCCTGCCAGTAAAGGCCTGTCCCCTATAGGCATGAGGGGACAACTCTGATGTATGACTGATGGCTCTGGAGCCTTGACCAGGAAGCTGCTTCCTCGAGCTTTGCATCCTAGTCCACTATGGCATCCCTGGCTGGGCCTCAGCGCTTTGTTAGGGAAATTGAGGGCGGTGGTGGAGAACCACAATGAAGCCTACTGTCTCTGTCCCCTCTAAGAGGAAACAAAAGGTCCCCAGTCTCTGCAGAGCCCTGGCTCATGCCCACCCGCTAATGCCCAGCACATAGGGAGGAGCCGGGGCCAATGGAGACAGGAGGTTTTATTGATGCTGATGGGGTAGGAAAGGCCCCCAGGAGCATGGGGCCTGAGTCAGTCAGCAGACGCATAAGGCCTGGGCACATGGGGCAGGTTAGGGCATTTTTCTTCTCAGGGTTCTGTGGCTCCTTCTCCTTTGTTGGGGGGGATGTCTTGGAGCGCCTACTCCAAGAGCAAAGGCAGAGGTTAGAGCCCCTAACCTGAGAAGAGGCACCACAACAGGCAGCAACTCTGTGGAAAGCTGGATGAACTGGTCAGTAGCAGGAAATGGAGGGAAGCACTGGGCTGGCCTCTTGGAAGGGTCAACCTGGCTTAGGTGAACTCATGGAATACTTGGTATTCCCAAGCAGAGTGGGGCAGGGCCCAAAGCCCCTTTCCCCGTGTACCTCCTTAAGGAATAAAAGGCAATCAGGGAGTCCCCTGGCAAGGGGTGCCAGAATTAGTCCTTAAGGCACAGCTGGGGGGGCAGACAAGGCGCCAAGGCACAACTGGTGGGGGGACAAGGGGTAGCCTCCAAGCTGAATGCCAGGGTCACAAGAGGATGCAGGACCGCCCACGCTTTATCGGTGTTGGGTTGAGCACTGCCCGGACAGCCTCTGCAAACACCTCCTTGACGCCGTCCTGCTGCAGCGCCGAGCACTCAAGGTAGCGCACAGCATGGATCTGCTTGGCCAGTGCCTGGCCCTGCTGCGGTGTGATGGGCGCTTGACCCTGCTCCTTGAGGCGCCGTAGGGTATCAGGCTGGGCTCTCAGGTCCTTCTTGGTGCCCACCAGGAGGATGGGGACATCGGGGCAGTGGTGACACACCTCTGGATGCCACTTGTGCCTCACATTTTCATAGGAGGGTGGACTGGCAATGGAGAAACAGATGACAAAGACGTTGGTCTGAGGGTAGGAAAGGGTGCGCAGGCGGTCATATTCCTCCTGGCCCGCAGTGTCCCACAGGTTCAGGTTCACTGTGCGCCCATCAACTGCACTCTGGGCGCTGTAATTGTCGAACACAGTGGGGATGTATTCCTTGGGGAAGGCATTAGTCGTGTAGCAGATGAGAAGGCATGTCTTGCCCACAGCCCCATCACCCACCACCACACACTTGATGCTCTGCATTGTGTATAAAGCTGCGGGAGTGGAGGCACTGCCTCCTCCCTCTTCTGGACCCCACTGAAGTAGTGACCTATGGAGAGATGAGAGGGACATTCTTGATTTAGGAGACCTGTACCTACTGAAAAGAAAAGATGAAGATATACAGAGAAAAAACACTTCTTGTTCAGTTATCTTGACATCATCCCCAAATCTCATCAAGACAAACATTAGAAACAAAGAGAGGGACTGAGCAAGATGCTGCAAAGCTGTAAGCTTCTAGTACCAGCCTAGTCCAACTGCTATTTCCAGCAATGACAATGGACAAACCTCTCCTCTAAACAAACCTCATGTTTCTTATCTGCAAAATGGAGATAATATTGACTTACTGTATGGATTAGTTATTACATTTAAAGCACTGAGGACAGTACCTGGTTAACTACTACTAGCTATTTTTATTCTTCCTCGATACAAGGATCAGCTAGATCATCTACTACATATGGACTCCACTAGTCTGATCTCCCAATATTTGCTCTAGAGCCTCAAAAATTAAAGCCAATATGCATGATGGTAGTGGGGGACGCCTTGTTGGGAAGTGGAAAGGGAACCTTGGTGCTGTGGGCTGCAGTGGACTCAAGCACTGCCTGGTTCTCTCCCAGGCTGCAGCTCCTTCTATCCCAGCTGGGAGGGAAGTGATATTTCCTGATGAGGCTACTTCTTTCATTGCTGTTAACAGGATTCCCATCTGCTCTGTATGAGCGTGTTCAACCTCCAGATATTCAGACAGACCCTCAGAGTGGATAGCAGCGGGAATAAAGAGAACCAGAGAATAAGTTCTACCTCAGTTCTCTGACTCACTGCAGCTGACACTTATCCCCTCTGGGTCTCAGGTTTTCTTTTCAGGAAACGAAGGTAAAAAGTGTATGACGGCTGGAGAGATGGCTCAACAGTAGGAGCAGCTACTGCTTTGAAGACCTGAGTTCAGTTCCCAGCCCTGCTTTAAACACTCCACAATTGCCTCTAGCTCCAGATCTAGGGTCCCTTTGGCCTCTGAGGGAACCAGCACTCCTACAAAAACACACATACCTACGTACACACAGCCGGGTGTGGTGTGTTTACCTATATCCAAGCACTCAGGCAGGAGGATTATGGTAAGTTTGAGGCCAACCTAGTCTACCTAGGTGAGTTCTAGTCCAGCCAAAGATATATATAGTAAAGCCCTGTCTCAAAACAAAAACAAACAAAGACTTAGGCTTAAGGAGGAAAACAATGCATGTTTTCTCTCATATGTAAAATCTAAATTTAAATATAGATCAGATTTAAATATGTGCGTGTGTGACATGAAAGCAGAAGGGGAACTATTTGGGAAGAGGAAGGACATCAGTGTGGAGAGAGGAGGGTGACTATGAGGAGAGTATAATGATAAATATGATACATAGGAAAATGATAATATGATAAATAGGATACTACATAGGAAAACTTCATAATGAAATCTATTTTCTTATATAGTAACTTAAAAAAAAAAACTTAAAGCCTCAGGGGGAGGGGTTATTAGTTGTGTCCACTGCATTATTTGAGTCCTGGCATTTCACAGCCTAGAACTGGGCCCGAAATCTTAAGATCAACACAGAAAGGGACTAAGCAGCAGTAAGAGTAAGACCCCTACAGGAGGTGGTGGAGCACATCTTGAGTCCCAGGACAAAAATCACACAGAGAAACCCTGTCTCAAAAAAACAAAACACAAAGACTAACACACCTCCTGCCCCAAGCCCAGCAGTGAACCTACACAGGCAGGAAGGCAAGGAGGGTGTTCTAGCTAGCAGTCCCCAGGCCCTTGAGACTGAAAGTACAACAGGCCCTCTAGGGAGGTGCTTATCAACCTGCAAATCAGTAAATCAGTCCTCAAAGGAGTGGGGCTGGCCAAAGAAGAGGGCCTGCCGTGGGAAAAGGGCACACCTCTGACCTGCTGGGCTCACCTGCTGACCTCAACCCTCAATGAAACACCTCCATATGGTACAAGTCTTTACAGGGAGCATGGCAGGTGTTACTCGATTCTCCTCCTGACTGGGAGGACTTTATTTTACGAAGTCAGAAACCAAGCCCAGAGCTGTTAAAGTCATCCAGCTATGTGGAGTTTGGGAGCCAGGACACAAACTCAGTTCTGTGATTCAAAGTCCTAAGTTTTCTTCATTGTATCATGTGGCTCGCAGATAACTGTGGGGCCTTGAACAAATTAGTCACTTCCTTAACCATAGCCTCAGTTTCTTCGTCTGGATAGCAAGAGTCATGACAGTTGCCTTCCTGGCCTCGTGGGGGACGCAGCATGACCGCGAATATACTTTTGTGTGCCATGCACACGGCAGCAACAAGCCAAGTGTTGGCCAGTTCTCCCAGAGAGAATAACTTACTCTCGCAGTTCAAGCCTTCATCCTCTCCCAGCAGAACTCTCCTCTCTTTCCGTTGCTTTTAGTCGTACTATCTTTACTGTTGCTGTTAGCGCCACTGAGCATTGGCTCTGGACTGGCGCTCTACCATGACGCCCTAGCTTCAGCTCTCCAGCAGGTCTTTCCCCTGAGATTCTATAACTGGAGTGGGTCACATGAGTTTCCTTACCTACGAGACTACCCGCCATAGGCTTATCTCACTTATGTCAAATTGAAGGAAAGATTGGCTGTGGGAGGCCAAGATGTACAATTAGATTTTGATTATGACTTGAAAAAAATCTTTGCTGGAAATGTGGCTCAGTGACATTGCACTTGCCTCATATATGTAAAGGTCCAGTTTCAATCTCCAGAATTCACGCCCTAGTAATAAATATAATTTAAAAAAAAAACTTGGTTTAGTAAATAAATTGATGCTTGAAGATCTATATATAAGCAAATGACAACAATTTGTTCTAGGTTTTTATACCCAACTTATTCAGATCATGCCTGGACTCTGTCATCAAAGTTGATCACACTATAAGAGGGGTTTTAGAGTCAGACAGACCTGGATTTAGGATGAACTGCCTCTGTAATCTTCAGTTTCCTTTTCTCTAATTCAGCCACAACAGCAGTTCTCACAGGGTTGCTATATAGTTTAAATGCATTAATATACAATATCTGCATGATATGAGTTCCTAGCTCCTCCTCCAAAAGGGTCTACAATGTTGTCTATAAAGCCAATCTCGGGCCGGGCGGTGGTGGCGCACGCCTTTAATCCCAGCACTCGGGAGGCAGAGGCAGGCGGATCTCTATGAGTTCGAGGCCAGCCTGGTCTACAAGAGCTAGTTCCAGGCCAGGAACCAAAAAGCTACGGAGAAACCTTGTCTCGAAAAAAATCAAAAAAAAAAAAAAAAAAAAAATCTCGGGGGCTAGAGAAGTGGTTAGGAGCTTTGTTTGCCTGCTCTTCCAAAGGTCCTGAGTT